TATAGAAATAAACTGAATAGAATTAAATTATACATTTTTGTGTTTTTAGATTCATGTCATGTTAAGACCGGAATTTCCTCATTGTGGGACAATAAAGGGATTTTCTATTCTATTCTATCACTTAGCTAAAAACTGTGGTTATTTAAAGGTTATCCAGCTGACAGGACATCTGCTGGTCTGTTTCTTTTCTCTTTGCGAGGACAGAAACATGATGTTCCAAACGATCCTAATAAAAGAAAAAACCTAATCTGTTTTTCTCCTTGAAACATTTCCCGGCCTCGGCTCTAACATGACCTCCTGTTCAATCTGTCTTTGCCATTTTCAGCAGCCTTTGGTCCGCCTCCGTGGCGGCGCCATGGTTGGTGAGGGCCGGGTGGAGGTGCTGAAGAACGGAGAGTGGGGCACCATATGTGACGATAACTGGAATCTGCTGTCTGCCACTGTGGTGTGCCGGGAGCTGGGCTTTGGTTCAGCAAAGGAAGCGCTGTCTGGAGGACAACTGGGCCAGGGTTTGTATTAAACAAACTGTGCAGCATCTCTTTTTACTTTCATGAAGTCGTTTCTTAATATTTTCTCAGATAACCGTTTTTTCCCCCAGCAGCTTAATGCAGATTCCTAGTTTCAAGCAGTGATTATGGCCTAAAGAAACGTGGTCAGCATGTAAAGAGGGGGAAAGATGCCAAACAGCCATGCTAATTAGAAAGCAGACCTGTAACTATCCCATAATAGTAAACCAGGAATGATAGTTTTTACTGCTGGAATAACTTTCTGTCTATAATTTCCTTCATGTCGTCACTTTCCTCATTGGGGAAAAGATCCTCCTCCAGGTTTCCAGATGTGACTCTGCTTTGATTCTGAACGCAGATTAGCAGAGAGCTGCTGGCTGTGGACGCAGTGGTGACCTCTCAGATTTATGTCAACTAGATTTCATCCTAGATCTGACTGAGCTGTATGGTAGATGTGGTATCTAGTTACATAGTTCTACAACCTGGGTAACAGTGATGGATAATTCTCCTTTGGTTCATCTGCTGGAGGAGAAAGTTGGAAGCAAAGGCTTGTGGAATAGTAGACCCTGGGGACGAAGTTAGAAGGGGGTGGCGAAGGAAGCCATCTACGTTACGAAAGACAACCAATAAGAGCAACGGAGTGCGTGACGTATGTTAAGCGACGCATAGTTGTTGTCAACAAAAATCAAAGCGTGCAGTT